TCAAAGATATAACCTGCTCTGCTGTTCATGCTATGCATGTCATGCTAGAGCATGTGGCATGTTTTAGAAAAACAGAATGAAATTCCTATTGCAAATACAATCTCATTTAAAACTTGTCGCACTTGCTGTGAATATACTTCTCACTTTGGGATTTCCTTGTCTGCCTTCATGGGTGTGATTCTGTGTCAGCAACCAGGAAAGCAGGTAATACTCTGCATTGTTAGTGCCATGGTTTAGCTGTATCCCCGGCTGTGCCGCTGAATTCAGTGTGACAGAGTCTTGCAGCTGTGTTCGGGGAGCTCTGCAGGCTTCTGAATCCATCGGAGGGGTCCAATCAATAGCACCAAATTATTTCCCAAGGTGTATTTTGATGTTTAAAGCCATATGTGATGCCATCCATGAAACGTGAATTGACGTATACTTGTCAACCTGGTTCTTAAAAGTGGCCCATTTAGTGTAGTTGCCAGACCATTTACACTAATACTTCTCTTGCAAGTGTTCTGCTTGATTCCTGTCTGTCAAAAATTCACTGTTAAATGTTGGGAGTAGTTGCTGTCATTTGGGGAGGAAGAGGTCATTTCAAGTGCTCACACAGCAAAATGTGTAAGGCTGGGTTCTAAGTTATGATCGCTCTAACCAAGCAGCTCATCATCTTTGCTTATGATCTTGGTAAAGTCAGTGGTACTCTACTGAAAGATCATTAAAGGTTTGGTTGGTTTTTTGTTTGTTTTTGTTTTGCAGAACTTCCTTTAACGTTAAACATTGTGTTGTTAGTCGTATTAAGAATATTGCTCAGTGATTAAATATAGGACAGATGAAGTAAGCGCTACTCTGAACTGAAATTCTTGGCATCTATATGAATTGTGCTAGTGGGTGCTGAGAGTCTATTTCAAATGCAAGTCATTGGTATATTGGGGGTGGACTTTGTAAAGATAGAAAGGTGGCAGCAAGACAAAAATTGGAACTGGATTTTGAGATTTCCGTCCTTGGCATGTTTTTTTAAAGCATTTTCTTTTTATGGAAGTAAATAATTTTTCTGTAGCTGTTAAAATATAGCGCATTATGTATCTCCATAAACACAAAGTATGTTTCATACTCTTAGACCGAGGGTTTCCTGAGTTCGTTTGGACATCACAAAGCAGAGAGCTGTATTTTACTGCTGTAATGGCAAATTATGCCTGGCCCATCGTGTAACTGGAGGGGGCATTCAAAGCCTGAAGTACTGTTTTTCTGGCAGTAAGTGACAGGCTAAAGTGGATGAATTGTTGGGTGTCTCACATTGAAGAGATTTTGTAGCTGTGAAACATGCAGAGTGTAGCTGGGAACCTCTCGTTATCTACTTGCCGTGTTGAAGGTACTCTGCCACAGTGTGCTTTTTCTAGGGAGGTTTCAATCTTTTGACTAAGAACAGATTTAGACACTGTTTTGGCATTTTTGCAAGAGGCTAGTGTAGTAAACACCGCTTAACATCTCTGGAACTGTAGTTCTGCAGTGATGTATCAAAAAAAACCCCTGACTCAAACCAGAATGAAGACTTGGAGGTTTTACCTTGAGTGCAGCACAAGATTTTCCCAAATCAGATTAATCTGGCTGCGTATCCATGGTCTGAACCTTTCAGGGTTTATGGCTGTTTATGTAGCCAAAGAAAGCTGGTTGTTCTCCTTTCTTCCCAGATGTAGGCATTTGGAACACCCTAGGAATACAGAGTGTTTCTTTTATGCACAGTGTGTTATTTTTCATCAGCTTTCCAGGGAATAGAGCAACACCAGGGTATGATGCATAGAATTCCCATGTGGAGGAAAATCAACTAATCTGAAAAAGCTGCCCAATACATCCAGCAGATAGTTCAAGTAAGGACTTGCATATTTTGTTATTTTTCATCAGCTTTCCAGGGAATAGAGCAACACCAGGGTATGATGCATAGAATTCCCATGTGGAGGAAAATCAACTAATCTGAAAAAGCTGCCCAATACATCCAAGTCCTTACTTGAACTATCCGCTGCATATTTGTATTTGGGATATAATGTGTGCACCTTGTTGACATTCTGAGAATTGCTCTGTTAGATAACACTTTTTTCTTAAATGTCACACTGACAACATAAACTCTGAGCTGTTAAGACTGATAATGCAGATATTAACTCATTGTATTGAATACCGGAGGATTACATATGCATTACCAGAAGTATTTAAATACTAAAGGCTGCATAAATGAACTGGATTATCAAACTAAAAGGATGAAAGGCAAGGAGTGGGCTAGGAAGGCAAGAAGACAGCTGATGCAGGAGAGGCTACAAAATTGTATGGCAAGATGTCACTCTAGACTGAGCAGCTGGTAGTTCAGAAACAGCAAATGGAGTTTCAGTGTTCTGAATTTATGAATTGTTACTGTGAAAGTATTAGTTTAATGTTCATAAAATGTGAAATAAATGAGGACTGAAAATGCAGTTCACAGTAGTGGAGCATTGATAGATAAATGAATTGAGAATTAAGGCAATCAAATTCTCTTCATCAAGTTCCCACAGACTTAACAGTTTCTCTTGAGAAAGTTGATTAGTCAAGTGTTAATTGTACATACTTGTGTCTGTGTTGGATAAACACAGTAGGAAAGGTGGCAGTGGGGATCTGTAAGAGGGATCCTCGAAACACTTCCTACTCTGAGTTACAAGGGTGAGCTGTGGGAACAGGAAAGGTTTTGCTGGAGAAGCTGTTCCTGACCTGTCTTTTTTCCCCCAAGATCTAATTTCAGAGAAATATGAGCAACATAAGATGCATCTGACAAAACAGAGAAGGATAAACTGAAGCAATGTCCTCCACAGTAGTACTGACAGAACAGAAGGCTCGTGTCCAAGCCCTGGTTCAGTACACAAAATAATCGGAGTCCTGATAAGGTCTCTGTGAACACTGTCATTTCTGAGCCAAATGACACAACTTCAGCTGCTATGTACCTAGTTCCATGAACAACTTGGTGACTTGATTCAACAGGAAAGGCGTGAGTGGTTTAAAAGGGATGAAGGCAAAGCTCTTTCTTATAGTATCTGTCACTTTGGATATATGGATTGTCCCTAGTTTAGATTTTTTCCCCTTCAGCAGGGAAGAGGAAGAAGCAAGACCTTAGAGGAGCAACTCATTGAAGCATGCTCTTAAATCATATTGCCGGTCTCAGTGAAAACACAGTTTCTTTTCTTGGATGCGTTTGTATCTGAAAAACATAGAGTTTGGGATCATGTACTTGGACAGAAACTTGCAGAACATGAAAACTGTAGTGAGGAAGTTGTACTCCCTGGCCGTGTGGTCTGGGCTGTCCTTTTGAACCTTATAAAGAACCTTAATTTTTGTGGTTGTACAGCCAGGGTGGCCAGGCTGTTAATGGAAGTGCAGGGGCTTTGGGGTTTTGGCAAAGAATGGTTACTGTTTGATAAAAGACATAACTGTTTCAGCAAGCAAAAGAAGCTGTACCGGATAAAGCGTTTATAAACTAGTGTGTATCTCCAGCTTGGAATTTTCTGCCATTCTTTAATTGCCCTCTTCCTGGTGTTTTAAAAAAGATCCTCCTAGTAAAATAGTTCATTTATAGATGGGGCTTTAGAAAATAGGCACTAGTACCTTTATTAATGTCCTTTTATGGATCTCTGTTCCCAAATTAGTGCGTGCAAACTTCCTATGACTCTAGCAAGCAATGCTTTTTATGCGCAAGACAAAGGATAGGTTTGTTTTTTTAAAAAAATTCCCTTTCATGGAAAACTATTTAAATTACAATTTCGCGTTAACATCAAAGAATTAAGTTGTTGACTCATGGTGCTTTCTAAGGAAAATCACAAACACAGGTTTTTGAAGGAATCACATGCTTTGACACCATATAAACAAAGAAAATATTTCCTAATCAATAGGTTCAGTTGTAGTAAACACCCTTGGAAAAAAAAATGAAATCTTCAGTAAAGTCTTCCTAAATCCTCATGTGTTTGATCAATAAAATTTAGATGTAGTACCTTTTAGCCAACCTCAGCATTATGTTTGTTAAGTTTGGCAGAAGGGACATTCAATTACCAAAGAGGAAGAGCAGCAGAGAAATAGTTTGACCAGTCACTTTCCAGATCACTGATTAAAATTAAAATTAGGACTTGTACACCTTATATTCTTGGCCCGATGTGCTTTTTCTGATGCTCAGTCTCACTACATTAAGATGAGTATATGCCTATTATAGGATCATTTATTTCTTTATATATATATATATACACACACGTGTGTGTTTGTATGTGTATGTATATGTGTGTGTATTATATTTTATTTTTGTCCTTCTGTTATCAGAGTATGGGAATTCTGTCCCTTAGTAGCCTTCTGTCGTGTTACTCTGTTTTCCCACCCTCCCTCTTATCCTTGCAGCTTCCTTCTCCCCACACCTCCCCAAAAAGAGTTGATATCCATTGCTTTTAAGAGGGCCTAACTTAGTGTAGTTTTGATATTTACTGCTTCTGTAGATGGCTGTTTTAATCATAAGCACGGAAATGGTGAAGAATTATGTTGCTGTGTTTTCAGTCTGTAGTGTCCTAATCCCCAGCGGCTTGTTCTCATCTGCCAGCTTCCTGCTTCCCATAAGAAAAATCCATCCAAGCACATGTCTGGTTTAGGACAACAACCTCTGAAATGTGGATGCCTCTGAAGTTTTTACAGGCAGAATTCCAAGTCCTGGCAGAACATGGGACCAGCACATGGTCAGTCAGGGATTTTTTGTTAGTGCTGGGTATCATCTTTGTGTTTACCAATCTCATCACTACACATGATTGTTGTAACAGTTTCTCAACCTTCTCTCACCTTCCCTAGGGCTTGGGAACAGTCTCCCCTGCCTAACGCCAAAACTGCCCTGCTTCCTAATAATTTGTCCACAATGCAGAGCAACTGGAGACAAGTCTTCAGATTTTATTTATGCGCCGTACTGTGATTTGACACATCTGTGCAGCTGTGTTTTCCTGACTCTCTCTTCTGTTTAAATTGTATTTTACAGGTGTGGAGGAACAGTTGGTGCCATCTTTACATGTCCCTTAGAGGTAATAAAGACTAGGCTCCAATCTTCAAAGCTAGCCTTCCGGGCTGTCTACTACCCACAAGTCCAGCTGGGGACCATCAGTGGTGAAGGAATGGTCAGGCCAACATCTGTATCACCTGGGCTCTTTAGTGTTCTCAAGTGAGTACTGCTCCTCCTGTCATTCAACATTATTTGACACCAGTGATCTGGGTTTCAATTCCTCTGTGCAAACACAGAATGCAGATTTTGCTCCAGACTTGCACCGGGAGCATTCATGTCAATTGGGCTTCTGCCTTCAGCAGTAGAAAGATAAATTATTCTTCTAAAAACGCATATGTATTCAGGACTCCTGAGCATCACTTTGAACTTCCACAGAAATTTGTTTCCACCACTTAGAAACTTTCCAACGTGAATTGATTTGAATAAGTGTCTGGAGGTGTTATTTTTAAATTGTCTCTTCACATTATCCTTTTTGGTAATTACAACTTCCTAGGGATCAATACACAGGACATACTGTAAATTCTTGTGGGAACTATCACAGAAAATATTCTGGAGGAAAGGGCTTTTTCTCTTTTTCAACACTGAGAAGTGTTGTGTTTGTCTTTTATTGGGAATAAACATGTTTACTCTCTCCTTTGAGCATTGGAACAGGTAATCCTTACTAGCTGGGGCCAATTCTTCACAAATGATTGAAGGACCGAATAAGCCATATACGCTGTCTTTTTTTTTTTCCTGGAGCCATTCCCAGTTTGCTCTGAGTAGCTAGTAGAGATACTTGTTGCTATTGCTGCCCATGCTATTTACCTGTTTGATGGAGGGAAGTTTTAATGCCTCTCTTGAAGCATTTGTTCTTTGGAGGTCATACAAAAGTGAGAGCCTGTAGCCTTTCCTTCACTAATGCACAAGCATTGTAACAAGGTTTCTGATTTTCTGCACTTAGTGATGTATGTCAGCCCCGATCTGTCTTTGAAGCTAGCCTTGCATGAGTTTGAACCAGATGACCTCCAGAATTCTGTGTTCCCATATATTTTAAGTTATGCTTGCCTGCATTCTTGTGTGGATGATCTATAACTGAAACTTATGGGAGTAGGGGAAGGACACTAAAATATGTCTAATTGGGGTCTTGGAAGTTTTTATCTTTTTTTCCTCAGCTATAGCTGATTTAATAAGCTCTCCTCTGTTTGCTATTAGATGTTGTCTTTGCCAATTATTATTACACATCAATGCTTCCACACCTGGATTACTTACGATCTCTGTTAAAAGCTGCCTGCATGGTTCAGACTGCAGCAGTTGATGCTCCAGCTGTTCCCTTTTCAGATGTGTATATTCATAAAGAAGAGGAAATGTGAAATCATCTAGTTTACAACCGCTGAATAGTTTTACCAGCAACTCTGAAGTCCAAATCTCTACTACTGTTATTTCCTATCAAAGCACCATAAACTTATGGTTCAGACCTCATACAAATGGATTGACTTTATTTGGATCATTGGGCACCCCGGGGTGATGCAGAGAGGTCCTGTTCGGATCAGGTAGCAGAAATGCCAAAGAAAATAATGACTAGCAAAGCAAGTTGAATGATTTTATGCAGGGCCAACACGCTTGGCAGACTGCCTGGGGGAAGCTGCACGGTTATATAACAGTACAGTGCTAATTCAAATTCTCTGCAGGGCTATTGGGCTAGAGTCATTCTGGGACTTGAGTTTCTGTATTGTAAACAGTGCTTCTTTCCGCTGCCAAACATTTCTTTGTCTGTTTGGAGGTGAGTGTAGAGCAATTCGTGACTGAAAATGTAAGGCAGTGCCAATTGCCTTTGATTTTTCATCTCCTTTCCCTTGCTATCTTTTCACCTTGCAGCATTGGACTTTAGGCAGCTCTAACTAAAGGCAGTGAAAACTTCAAGGCACAAGGCTCTTAATTCATCCTCTTCCCCCATCTTTTTCTGGAGTTGTCTTTTTGGGGGTGGGGAGAGAGGAGATGGTTTAAAATTGGGTCAACCTTTTAATATATTTATTAAGCTCATTAAATTTGGTGACTATGATCTTGATTTCATTTTACTTCAGGAATTGCTCAGCTGCATGTATCACCAAGTTTTTGACCTGCTTACTTCAGAGGGTCGAGAAGTGAGAGTGAAATATTTATGCTGTCATTCCCTTGCAGGCAGCATCTATGAAGAACAGATAATGCTATTGATCATGATCTTTCTGATAAAATACAAATGTATGAAGAAAGAAGTGAAGTTAGATCTCTTGCTTTTACTCTTCCTTCCCTTTCTCAATCCTGGTCCCTTCCCTTTCTCAATCCTGGTCATGCATGCATTGCCTACATGGATATGACTTGGGCCTTCTGGTTTGTGAAAATTGTATGGCTAAAGAAGCAGCCATTAGAGCCCTACATATAAAATTGCTCTGGAAGAGTTAAAGGTGTTGACTATGAAAGCCCCTTAACTGCTGTGAATAGAAAGAAAGAAAGAACTCAGGAGGGCAGGTTAAGCTTGCTGCAGAGTAGAAAGCACTCCAGAAGGACAGGCTGTTTTTGTCAAATGCATTTAAGATTCTGATGAGTCATCCCAGCTGGAATCTGCAGTCGTGACTGTTAAGTGACAAAGAACAAGTAGTTGGTGGATCTGTCTCCTTGGAGACACTCAGCCCTGGAGTTTACACAGAAAGTTCAACTCTGCTGCAGAAAAAGTGTTTCGGAAGCTCCTATATCTTCCGTCTAGTGAGCTTGGTTTTGGAATCTGTGGAGAACATTCTCAACAGTGGCAATGACCTAGAAAGCAAATTCTGAAAAATTGGCAGGTCCAACAGGTGCACGTGAACTACCCATGGAGCCCGGTGCTATCTGGATTTTCTTGCATGGTTTTCACATGGTGACTTCAGTTAAGAGGGCTGCTGTCTAGCAGATTGTGCACTGAAATCCCAGTGATTACTGGACTGTATCTGGCTTTCACTGGTAAATACTTGGCTGTTTACTTGTGTTTGGCTGTTGTTTTAGACCTTGTAAATATATCTGTTGTTAGTAGTGCAAGGAATTTGTAGGATAAATCTTTTTTAATGAGGCACTTCAGCAAGGTGTTGTACAGAACTTGGCAACTGCTGGGGAAGCTGTCCGAATAGTTTATCTTCTTCAAAGAAGTCCTAGTCCTAGCCCAGCGTGCCTTCTAAGGTGTGAGGGAAGATGGGTGGAAATGGCTTTGGAAACCTGGGCTGTAGCAACTGCAGAACTGCAGGAAGCCATCTGGTGATCTTCCTGCTTTAGACCTGATCATGAAGTCCAGTCCTGACAGTGATTCACAGCAGTACCTCTGCAGTTGGAGTTTACTTGGGAAAGATGACATGAACTCTTTTGCCCTCAAAACCTGATATCCCTGAACTACCTGGGGAGACATAGCTTATAGTACGGTTGCCACATTCAGCTCTCACTCTGGGAGAAAAAACACATCACTATGTAGTTGTGAAAGGGAAAAGGATTTCTTTTTTTCATGTCTCTATACAGGAAACAAACTCCTGAATTTCTTAGATACAGAGAATACCAAAAATATTCTTTGTTCATCAGAGTCAACTATCACTGGATTCTCCATGAAACATAAATTCAATTCCTGACAGCTTTCAAAGAATGGAAATTACAACCTTGTGCCTTATGACACACATTTGCCTTTAGTGCACTGAAGTTTTATGGTATAGTGACTTTTATTCAGTAGTGTATAATTCTGCTAATTTTCCAGTGTATTATGTAGCTTAAAAGCTAACGGCGTCACAATTAATACTGATTGCTTTTGTACAGTTCTTTTGACTGACTGTCTGACAGAACAAGAAGTATAACTTTTAACCGAAATACT